ATATTTTTTGCATTACTTGTGTTGAGCGTGCTGCAGAAGTCCCCCGCGGTTCCTCGTTACAATGCAGTGTATAAGTTGTATTGCTTACCTGGCTTATTGATAAGTGAGAATGATGACACTGTGGGATTGATTTACTAACCTTATAAACACACCACGAACATGTATACACCTCTGTAGTGTGTTCCCTCCCAGCATGATCTATGGGTGGAATCTAAACACCTTTGTAGTGTGTACACACCCAGCAGGTGTGTTGTGCAAAGCCCTGCCCTGAATTGCAAGGTGATGTTGTGTAAATTAGCTCTACACTGTGTTGCTTGCGTTGATGAATGCAGGAATGTAAATGCATGAGCTAACCATTTTTGTCTAAACTGTGAAGCAGCATTATATATGCATCATGTGCATGATTTTTCCATATATGGCATTAGTGGAAATATGCTTATAGAGACTTTTTGGTTGATAAATACGTTTTGCTGTGTGAAAATCACACGCACCTGGTGCGTGCGTGTGTTTAGGTTAGTAAATCAACCCCTATGTCATATGAGAGCCAATTTTATTAGCCCATTTTTATACATGTTTAAGAGAACCTCCTATTAAACAAAACATCTGTGTGAGATGACACTGCTGGAAGAGGCTGTTACCCAATAGATGTGTCGCATATCAACACTGAGGGAGTGAAGCTGAATCTGTCAACTTAAATAATGCTTTGGGACTATCAGCTGGCCTGGGAGGTAGAAAACGGCAGCCACCATCAGCAATTTCTCACACTGCTTTGTTAATCTCTATAAGCAATAAATACTAATGAACAAATTCAGTGTTTTCCATTTTATTTACAATATAAATAATCTTTGTGTACACAGGAATATACAAAATTCAGTGTTAAAGTGACATTAAAGGAACCACTTCTTCTTTAGTGTAGTTTTGTAGTGCAGATGTGTAGTAGTGCAGATGTGTAGTAGTGCAGATGTCCTCCAGCACTGGTGCCGGTCTCCGATCCAGTGCTGACTCCTCTGTCCTCCTCTGACATCCCATGGAGTCTGTGCGGGTGCACAGTGCTCCATAGTCTTACCTTGTGTCTCTCCTCGTCTCCCGGCCGAATATCTGAACTGCGCATGTGCCCGCCCGAAAATCTTCAGATGTTCCGACTGGAGCGTGCGGCAAAGACAGGCGTAAGTTAAAACCTGTTTGAAAAGGTTTTTTGTTTAAGTTTTTGCATATATCTACTGCTTGCTAGCCATAGATATATGCAAAAACACACTGAGGGTTTAATAGCCCTTTAAATAATTTCATATTATCTTTAAAACAATATCTATTTACCTAATTCTATATTATGATTTTGGATGCATCAGGCTCCATTCACAAAGGATAATGATGTTTATTTTCAGCCACGTGGCTATAATTTCCTACTCTCATTGGACTTAGTTGAAAATAACTGTCACTTTTGTTTTGAGATAAGAATCCATCTCCTGGAATGTTACCATTTGAAGACCTTATTGCTATCGCACAGGGGGATAAAAATCCCCCTATGTGATAGCACATATACAGTGACAGGCCTTCTTTATGAGACCCCAAAGAAGCTGATGAAGCAGAGATCTGCATCTTCTCTAGCTACAGTGGAGAAATGACAGGCTGAAACAGCTGGTGGAATGTGCCGATCTACATCCTACCACAGAGGCCCGCCGTACCAGTCGGCCTGCACGGAGGACATTTGAGCCCTGAATAGTCGGCAGCGGCCACGGAGAGAGGGCGCACACTTCCCGCACCCTTCCCTCACCCTTTCCAGGCTCTATATCCACCTGAACGCTTGTATGTATCCAGGGCTTAAATTTATCAAACCTTCCCCACTCCTGATCACGCGGGGGGTACATGAGCGGGAGCAGTGAAGGACGTTTATAAACGACCACCCAATCTTATGCATCAGCCATCCGGCCATTTAATCACGATCAATGAGACAGCAAGTGGTGAAAGTACCGTGTTTCCCCGAAAGTAAGACCTACCCCGAAAGTAAGACCTAGCGCTATCTTCAGGGATCTCTGTAATATAAGACCTACCCCAAAAATAAGACCTAGTTCGGTGGTAGGTCTTATATTACAGAAATCCCTGATAGCGCTAGGTCTTATTTTCGGGGTAGCTGCACCGTATAATTACATTTTACATGTCACGGCCGCAGCAAAAGGCACGCCCGCACGCCCACCTTTCTGGCTCCATGGACGGCATTAGAGCAGAGAGCGGCCGCAGCTCCCTCCCTCCCGCCTGCACGCACGCACGAGCGGAGAGCGGACAGCTGCAGCCAGGTACACATAAGACATCCCCCGAAAAATAAGACTTAGTGTTTCTTTTTGCGTGAAAAAAAAAAATATAAGACACTGTCTTATTTTCGGGGAAACACGGTAGATCTAAACCCAATCACTTAGGGCTTGTTCACACTAACTGTCTACTAAAACGTTCTGTTATAGCATGTGGGCTAGAGTGTTGTAACATCCCCAGTGGGAGGTGGTGTGATGTGCTGTCTCAGAACATTACACTGTTTACTTTTTTTTTTTACTTGATTTGGACTGTACAATTTTTAAACACTATATTCAGGTCCACACACAGCAGTACATTATATTGCTCTGTGTTGCGGTAACTTGCAGTGCACTGCAAAAGAATGCAGTGTTCTGCTTTTCTCGCATTTGACCACATTCTGGTATGAATGGATTGTGCCCTAGCATTGATTGGTGTTGTTCAGTTTCTGCAAAACGGGAGTCACCGCATATAGTATGAACAAGCCCTTACATTTATTGTAAGTTTTAACATGTTAGTGTAATCCCAAAAGTTTTTTTCAATCTTTTTCAATCTTTAGCTTTGATTAAAAGAATTCCTGTTGATCCTCTTTTAAAGGTTCTTGTTCAGGCACTTTCTCTTATGTCATAAGAATTATCGTGAAGTTGTGCTTCTGCATTGTATCCCTATCACATGCACCCTTGATGCAGCGGTGCCATCAGACTGTGCAGGTATGGTGCACCGCTGATTGTATTTAGTAGGGATGCACCGATACTGAGTATTTGGGTGAGTACTCGTACTTGCCCAAATGCTCCGATGCCTAGCCCGATACTTTCCGTATCAGGAAGCCGGGCAGCACGTCATTACACGGCGCCCAGCTTCCATGATAGTGACGAAAAGCATGGGGACGGCTTCCTTGCTAATCGGGAAGCCGGATGGCGAGTCTTTACACGCTGCCCAGCTTCCTGGATAATCAGGAAGCCAGGTGGAGAGTAATTACACGCCGCCTGGCTTCCTGAATGGGACTTTCAGTCTTTGGTTTCGGCGAGTACTGGAAAAAAAAAATTGGTACTCGTACTCGGTACCGAAATACTATCCCTACCATTTAGAAGCTGGTTCTGAGCAATCATGTGAAGCCAATACTGAAAAAAAAGGAAGAGTCTGAAAAGGGCTGGAGGAGAGAAGCAGAACACATTTGCAAGGTAAAAAGAGTGGTTTTTATGGAAATAACTGTGACAATTGTTTGTTAAATTTTACAAACTAAAGCTGGCCATATATCAGTAGGGTTTCATTTGGAAACATTTTTTTTCGGAATGAATGAAATGCAAAACGTGAATGTGGTTTTTGTTTAAGAAATTCCATTCATTCCAAAATCGAATGTTGAAATCAAACGAAATGTTAAATAATGTTATGAGGAGATTTTTGATATTAACAATCATACAAAAATCTACCCGTTTATGGCCAGCTTAAACGTCATCTAGTTACAGTTCAGATATACTTTAAATCTGTACACATTTTGGCTAGATTTTAATTTTCTTAGTTTTTTTTTTTATTTATCCTTTTTATCTGCTGGAAAAACATACAAAAATATTTGCACTAATTGCATAGCATGTTTAAAAATAACTCTTTATTCACAGCACTTAATGACAACTTGTCAATAACTTTTAGAAGAACATTCTGTGCTAAAATATAAATCAACAGGAAGAGGAATAATTGTTTCCATATAGTATTTTACATATTGTTGTAACACACTATTAAATTTTCTACAGTTTAATGCAACATACTTGCAGAAAGTTTTTTCGTATGCGATCGCGTTTCCGTCCGATATTCGTAAGGTTGATGGGCAGTGTACAACCGCGAATACTTTACAATCAATCGACTTTTGACTAAGCAGCAGGTTAGAAAACTTTGGTCGATCGTACGATTTTCACAAGGTTGGTGGCGTTTCCGTACGTCAAAATTCGTACGATTTACAGTGCACATGCGCAGACGAAAATACGATTACCGCAATTCCGCCAGGTGCTTTCTTTTAATTACTGCTGATCTAACTTTGCGATAATCGGGGCAGGGTGGGGCCGCCGTATGAGAACTGTACCATGGTTCGATCATCTGACGAAAAGTGTCGTCCGATGATCGCAAGGTGTATGGGCAGCCTTAGAAACATTTTCTTCTTTTTTATTGCTGTGTCAGGGGGATTTCCCCTTACCTCGTGTCCTGGTGACCAAACGAGAAGGGACTGGACTCTCCTTAAGCTGGCCATACACTAGTAATTTTCGTTCAGCTTGTGGGCCGAATGAAAAAATAATATAACAAATCCACGCTTAACAGGGTGAATGGAAATATCTCCTGCTGTAGTTAATGTATTCTGAAGCCGGGCCTGCCGCTGACAGAATACATGGACAGTGACTGCAGCTGGTTGTTCTGCTCACTTTCTGAACACATAGGAATGAATATTAAATTCGACAGTGGTGACATAAACAGCAGTAAAAGCCTTAGAGGTGAGGTCCGCATAGGGTCACATGTATGTAACCCTTACCTGCTAAAAGAAGCATACACTAGCCTTTCCAGTGTCCCACTTTGTGAAAAGCTGCCATCCTCTGCATCACCATCCCTAGCAATTTGACTGATTGGACGGGTCAAATACCCGTTTCCTTCCACCGGCTTGTACTAGAAGCCACAGCGAGTTGGGAGGAGCAGGCAATTTACATGGACCTGGAGGTATGCAATGCAAGTAATTGTAGAGGCAAGTGAGCAGTGAAGCTGAGGAATAAGAAATGGGCATCTAATTTGTATTGAGAGTGTAGTCCATTATGGCAGTGAATTTGAAGCGGTGACTACTTTACAACACACAGGGACCAGGGGGAACAAAAGTAGCCACCCTCCAGAATGAAGGACAGTGTCAGCACAAATGCAGAGATGATTTGAGGATCTACAGCCGAGTGATACACAAATAAGATACATTTTTGTTAATAGTTAAGGTCACTTGAATGCATTTTTAAGATTTTACTCCTGAGTTTAGTGTCTCACTGTCAATACTTTAAAGTCAATACTTTAATGCCAAGTAGGTAGAAATGCTTCAAGGTTTTTCAGTGTCTATACTGTTGAGTCTGTTAAAGCCAATTCTTTCTCACTTGCAAACTGAACTGCATCATGCACACTGTGAAAGAGCATCTTACGAATATCCTTGTTTTGTTTTCCAAAGTAGCTTCCTCTGCTAAGGGCATCGATAACAGAAGTGTTGCAACAAGCCAGTAAAACATTGATCTGTACTTCTTTGTAATCCTTCAGCAATCCCTTTAAGGCATTGATGCCAGATGTGTCTAAAAAGGCTATTGAGGAACAATCAAGAATAATTGTTTGCAAGTCAGTTTTGTGATTTACAAGCTTTATTTGAATATCATGGTTGTCGTTGTTATCCATGCTTTTTCCATCCTCTAGCTGTTTCCTTTTTTTCTGCTTCTTTGCTTTCTTTTCCATTTTTTTTCTTCTTATAATTTCAAGACCAGGATCCATTCCAGCCATTTTGTACACAGACTGGAGAAAGTAGTCTTTGTTTGCATAGTAAAGTGGAGATTCAAAGCGGAATATTTTAATTCTGGGTATAGGTGAAAGGTTTTCATATTTATTCCCATCCTCATAAAAGACAGTGTCCTGTATCTGGCTGAGTGTGGTTGTGTGAGGTATCTGAGTTCGTACAACGAGACATAACATTGAAAAGATCACCCCTACCATGAGGCCGACTTCTGTACTGATTAGAGCTGAAGCAGCAACAGTGACAACCCAGATGGTTGCATCTATTTTGCTTAGCTGCCATAGAGCTGGCAAATCTTTAAATTTTCTGAGGGCACCACGTAAGCTGACAATTATTATACAGGCCAGAACACACTTTTGTAGTGAGTAAAATAATGGGGCAAAGAAAAGCAAAACCAGCAGGACCACAATAGCGCTAACCACACTGGAAGCTTGTGTTTTGCACCCTGTTGATGTCTTTACAAGTGTCTTAGCAAGAGCCGCGCTGGTGGCAAAGCAGTGGAAAAATGATGGAATTATATTGCAGAAGCCAATGGCAAACATCTCCTGGTTAGCTTCCACTGTATACGAATACTTCTTGGCAAACATTTCAGACAAGGATATTGTAAATGCAAAACTAACGACTGCAAGAGGAATAGCATCCACTGCTATTTTGCTCACTAGACCAAAATCGGGTACTTTTGGTGGTATAAATCCTGTTGGGATTACTCCTGAAACACTTGAACCATAGAGTTCATTTAGATTGCAGTAGTGTGACACAAGTGTGGCCACTGCAATTACAACTAGTTCAGTTGGCAGGGGAATCTTTATTTTGTCTTTGTAACGATCCCCAAGCTCTTTGGCAGCCACTAATACTGCAATACATATGGCACTTGTGATCACATCGCAATAATTAGTATGGTGAATATTTTTAAATATGTTAAACCATGTTGTTACCAACATTCCAATACCTGGACTGCGTGGGATTTTTAGTCCAAGGAGATATTTCACTTGTGCTGTTAAAATTGTAAGTGAGGCACCTGTTGCAAAACCATCCAACATTGGCTCTGACAAGTATATGGAAAGAAAACCCAGTCGAAATATTCCCATGAGAACCTGCAGGAATGGTAAAAAAAAGATATGAATGGCGTTACAAGCTCAAACTTTAACTACAAACAAACTCACTAAATCTTTACAAATATAACAACACATAGTTTGTTTTCCATTTGTAATGGCTTATTTGCTTTATCATGCATACAGAATGTATCTCTAAAACCTCTTTGAAGGGTAACTATACATGGTTTTATTTTTAAATGTGTATGTTTATGCTGTGACATTTTACATTTTTTTATTATATGTATGAAAACTTTGTTTTCATTTATTTATGCATATTTTTGCATTTATTTTAAGCACCCATGACACCCTGTTTTCAAAGTATTCTTGTTGGCAGCATGTGCCACCGACTAATAAAGATGGACCCATCTCTGCTAGTTGAGGGGGTATAGCCCTCCTCTGAGTTATTAAAACTTTAATTATGTCATCTGATTATCTTGGCTCTTAGGTCTATTTTAAGCACAACAGCTGATAAAAAAATTGTTGTTAAGCATACCTGATGGCTGCACACGGTAAATATGTCCCGTGATGGACTACAATCTCAATACAAATTGTTAAACTAAAGATCAGATTGTAGTCTATCACGGGAGTGAGCTTGGAGCGGTGGCTACTTTACAACACACACAGGGACCATGGGGAGGAAAAGTAGCCACCCTCCAGAAGGAAAGACAGTGTCAGCACCAATTCAGAGATGATTTGAGGATCTACGGCTGAGTGATACACAAATACATTTTTGTTAATAGTTTAGGTAGTTGAATGCAATTTTAGGAGTTTAGTGTTATTTTAGAGTTGCCTGTGCAGCAGCTCCACTTGCAGTCAGTTGATAGCTAGCATAACTGATAACCTCGAAATAATGCTGTTTTGTCCATATTCTATAGATTAATGCATTTAATCTTCATTCACTTTTGTAAAAAAAAGTATAATGTCTCAGAAGGTGAGGTTAATGGGTTTAAATTCAGGCAGTTATGTTCTAGTTCCTCTGACCTTTTTTTAAATCAATACATTTTACCTATTTGATGTACAAGTCTCTAAGCTAAGTATTTTTCATGTCTAATACCTTTGTTGCACATGCATTGATTGTGCTTGCTTTTGACGTCACAGATGACCTTAATAGAGTTTGTTTTTAATAACTGTCTTAAAGATTTCCCCCGGAGCCGCAAATTCTCAGGTAGATTATTGCATCATTGTAGTATAAATGGACAGTTACATTATCTGTCTTTTGTTGTTTTTTTGCCGTTGTCATATACACACTTACCATAATTAAATAGTCACCACACCTCCATATTTAAAGCAGATCTCCAAGAATTTGAAAGGTCATCCCCACACTGCAAGGGTTAACTACTTGTTTTGGTCTAGGGCAGGGCTCAAAATTTCCACTCGCCCCCTCGCAATTTGCGAGTGAAAATTGCGTGGGGGCGAGTGGAAATGAAGCCATTGAGAGTCAGGCACTCAACTCCTCCTCAGGGCGGCTTCTCTCCTCCTCACCGACATGATGACAGCCCTCCCACGTTCTTCCATCCCCCGTGTGTCTGTGTGTGGGGGCGGGGTCGCAGGAGGGAGCGCTTCCTGCTGTCAGGATGGCGGAGCGGTGAGGGGGAAAGAAGCCGCGCCCCCTGCTGTCAGGATGGCCAAGCGGGGAGGAGATCGGAGCCACTGTCATCCTGTCAGTTTCAGGATGACAGCGTCTATGTGCGTGGCAGAGCGGGGGAACGGTAAATATCATTGATATTTACCGATACTCCGTGTGAGGACAAACACTGGAGCGATCGTCTGATCACTCCAGTGTTTGTAAATAACTGGGGACACATAGTACTATGTGTACATCACATCCTGTTCATTCAAGATTTCCTCAATGGGGAGAAGCACTCACTACAGAGGCTCCTGCCCATTCAGAAACTGCTGATAGTAAATATTTGACTATCAGTGTCTGAATGAATGGGAAGCCTCTGTACTGAGTGCTTCCCATTCACTGAGTGCTGAGGCTGCTGAAAAAGAAATTGAGGATTTGGTGTCCTCAATTTATTTTCTATTTTAAAAGGGAAATGTCAGGGGTTATAATAAAGTAAAAATAAAACAAATAATAAAAAATAAAAAAAAAATATTTTAAAAAAGTAACTACAAATTAATTTCAGATAAAATGTGTATGTGTAATGCTCTGTGCATTGTGCTGTATAAGTAATGCCCTGTGCGTTGTGCTGTGGCGGTATGTGTGTCGTCCTGTGTGCGCGTTGTGCCCTGTGTGTGTTTGTTTGTGTTATGCAGGGCAACTGTTGGCGAGTAACTTTGAAGGCCTGGCTAGTAGCTCAGGACCTGAAATTTTTAGCCCTGGTCTAGGGAACAGAATAATGCATTCACCTGACCCACGATCCTCATCTTTCAAGTGAAGGAACCCTGCATAGACTTGATGATGACGCCCTTAGGAGAAGAGGTCTAGCAGCCAGCAGGGATTGAGGATTAGGTAGGTATATTTTCTTTATTTTGCTCCCCTAGACGAGATGGAAATGAGCAGTTGACCCTTACAGTGTGAGGGTAGCCTCACTACAGGGGTTAACGTGTGTGTATATACACTGAGTGGCCAGATTATTATGACAGTACTTAGTTGGACTACGAGATAACTCCATGAGATGACTTCGGTGGGCCGCCTCGTGACTCCACGAGATGTTGAAAGCAGATGCGAGGAATCTAACACTGCACTGTTGCCCTTCTGTTGTCTTGTACCAGTCTTGCCACTCTCCGTTCTGCACCAACATTGACTAGTCGCTGACGGCCACAAAATTCGCACGTTCAGACCCAGATTTTCGGCTGACAGTCCAGTATTTAAACACTTTAACAACAGCTGCTCTTGAACATTTAACGAATTCTGCTGTTTTGCTGATACTCGCTCCATGGCTCGCGCTAACAATCATCCCACGTTCAAAGGCTGTTAAATCGCGTTGTTTACCCATATCTTCAGAAACAAATCACTTCTACTGTCGTGGTAAACAACCTGCTTCCCTATTTAGAATGGTCTGGCCCTCTAGCAACTTCAGCGTGAAATTATAGCTAATTATAGCTAATTTGCCTACAAACGTCAGGTGGTCATAATAAACTGGCCACTCAGTGTATGTATTCATATCTATATATACACTATATCAGGGCTCAAAATCTCCACTCGCCCCCTCGCAATTGGCGAGTGAAAATTGCATGGGGGTGAGTGGAAATTCAGGGGCGGAACTGCTGTCGCTTCTACAGTGGCGATCGCCGTGTCAGTTCTCTCTCCTCCTCGGTCACTGCCGATACAGAGCGGCCGAGGAAAATAATCCGTCTGTCCTCCTCCCTCTGCCACACCCCTTCACTTACCTCTCTCCTCGCTGCTCCGTCCTCTGCCCGGCCGCCGAGTCTGTCTCCTCACCGGCCGCAGGGAGCAACCTGTATTGGAGGTGACAGGTTCAATAAAGAGTATCTGTCACCTCCAAATGCTATCATACAGGGGATTGTTAGCTCCTGTGTGATAGCCATAGAGTTAAGTGAAACAAATTTGTTAAAAAAATAATTAAATACAATTTTTAAAAAATTAATACATTTTAAATAAAAAGGTGATTAAAAATGTCACGGTCCACTTGCCATTAAAACCAGTTGATTGGCAGGCTCCTTCCCTACAGGAACCCGGGCTCCACTGCATAGAAGGAGGACAGGAGCCTGCCAAACAGCTCGTTACTATTCCCTGGGTCATATTTGGCAGGTGTACAGGGACAATGAGTGCATGCTGGAACTTGTAGTTCAATTACGACATGTCCCAGCATGCTCTCATTGTACCTGTACACCCCCACATATCACGGTGGGGCGCAAAAGTTTGTCCTGCCCCGGGCGCCGGTTACTCTGGTTACGCCACTGGGCCTCTGTACTGTGCATCACACCGCAGGTCTCTGTACTGTGCATCACACTGCAGGTCTCTGTACTGTGCATCACACCGCCGGTCTCTGTACTGTGCATCACACCGCAGGTCTCTGTAGTGTGCATCACACCGCAGGTCTCTGTGCTGTGCATCGCACCGCAGGTCTCTGTACTGTGCATCGCACCGCCGGTCTCTGTACTGTGCATCGCACCGCAGGTCTCTGTACTGTGCATCACACCGCCGGTCTCTGTACTGTGCATCACACCGCAGGTCTCTGTATAGTGCATAACACCGCAGGTCTCTGTACTGTGAATCACACCGCAGGTCTCTGTACTCGGCGTTGTTACTGATCTCTGTACTCTGCGTCACATCGCTGACCTGACGGAGTTAAAGCCGGGGCAGGGTAGGGGTTAGTGGGACATGTGGCGAGTAACTATTAAGGCCTGGCTAGTAACTTAGGACTTGAAATTTTGAGCCCTGCACTACATTACCAAAAGTATTGGGACGCCTGCCTTTACACGTACATGAACTCTAATGGCATCCCAGTCTTAGTCCGTAGGCTTCAATATTGAGTTGGCACACCCTTTGCAGCTGTAACAGCTTCAACACTTCTGGGAAGGCGTCCACAAGGTTTAGGAGTGTGTCTATGGGAATGTTTGACCATTCTTCCAAAAGTGCATTTGTGAGGTCAGGTACTGATGTTGGATGAGAAGGCCTGGCTCGCAGTCTCCGCTCTAATTCATCCCAAAGGTGTTCTATCGGGGTCAGGATTCTGTGCAGGCCAGTCAAGTTCCTCCACCCCAAACTCGCTCATCCATGTCGTTATGGACCTTGCTTTGTGCACTGGTGTACAGTCATGTTTGAACAGGAAGGGGCCATCCCCAAACCGTTCCAACAAAGTTGGGAGCATGAAATTGTCCATAAATGTCTTGGTATGCTGATGCCTTAAGAGTTCCCTTCACTGGAAACTAAGGGGCCAAGCCCAACCCCTGATAAACAACCCCACACCATAATCCTCCTCCCCCCTCCACCAAACTTTACACTTGGCACAATGCAGTCAGGCAAGTACCGTTCTCCTGGCAACCGCCAAACCCAGACACGTCCATCGGATTGCCAGACAGAGAAGCGTGATTCATAACTCCAGAGAACACGTCTCCACTTCTCTAGAGTCCAGTGGCGGCGTGCTTTACACCACTGCATCCAACGCTTTGCAGTGCACTTGGTGATGTAAGGCTTGGATGCAGCTGCTCGGCCATGGAAAGCCATTCCATGAAGCTCTCTACGCACTGTTGTTGTGCCAATCTGAAGGCCACACGAAGTTTGGAGGTCTGTAGCTATTGGCTCTGCAGACAGTTGGTGACTTCTGTGCACAATAAAGTGGGTAAAAACAGGGAGAGAAAATGAAAGAAATGGATAGCGTGAGAGAGAACAGTGGAGTACTTGATGGAGGGAAAGAGAACCCTAATAGAAGAAATAATGGAGCAGATGTTGAGATGGAATAGAGAAAAGACATATATCCTCGGGGAGCACCCTGTTCTCATGTCTCACCCTTAAGTCCGTGACACACTGCATGCGAAGCTGTGCAGAGCAAGGCAAAGCTGCGAGACACAGGCGTTCTCATGCAGTGTGTTAGAGCAGCGCGGGTAGATGAAAGACTGCATCTTCAGCCAATCTGTTCGCATTTAACAACCGGATGGACTTCGCATCCTGACACATGAGTCGATTGGCCAAAGATGACATTTTTCATCTTGGCACGCTCAGCTATGCGAGCTCTTGCAAGCTGACGTGCCGGAGTAAAAAGTACAAGACGCACTGCACGTGAAGGTCTGTGTGACGCCACTCCGCACTGCTTTGTGTCCAGTGTGTCACGGGCTTAAACGTTCCCTTTCCAATAAATTATAAACTGTCCTCCTGTGTGGCCCCTTGTCTTTCCCTCTGCTGTCATCTTCAGTATTGCTCTCCCATCCATTGTGGCCTGCCTGTCTTGTCTGCTTCCCTAGAATGTGGTTATTTATGTATAAAGTATTTCACACCAATTTAATTTGATCATATCTGGGAAAAATGATCGTAATCATGATCACAATCAGGTTAAAAAAAGAACTCCCGCAAAGCAAGGGTTAACTGTTCCATTTTTGTCTAGGTAAAAAAAAAAAGGTTATACTCACCTGAACCATGGAGCCGGCTTGTTCCGAGACTGGTTCTTCCAGCCTCTCTCCCCCTCCCCTGCTGCGGTCTAAGGCCCCGTAAATCATCATGTTCCATACACTGTGCATAGATGTGAGCCAATCGAGGGACATTCCAACGCTGCATCGTAGGAGGAGAGAGGCTGGAGCGAGCGCTGTGACAGCTGGCTGGCTTGGAGCTTCGGGTGAGTATAACTTTGTTATTTTTGAACCTAGACAAAAACTAGCATTTAACACTCGTACGGTTATTCACAAAGCTGCCAAAGGCAGCAAAGTGAATAACCCACCCGAAGTGAAGTGAGCCGAATGCTGTTCGGCTATTTATTTCAGGCTTGTACTGCTGATTCTAGCCGTACATCGGCTGAAATCAGCCGTACATCGGCTTGCCTCGGTTCAGCCGAACATGCTCATCAAGTGCAGAAGGAATTCGACTCAGCCGATACAGTATCTGAATCGGCTGAGCCGAAGTTCCGGCAGCTCACTCGCTGCTGTTCGCCCCTATTCACATAGGGGCCGAACGGCAGTGAGTGAATAGCCGAGTGGCATTTGGCTCGGCTATTCTGCTTGGTACTTCCGTGGTACCAGGTGTATGGGCACCTTTAGTCAAACATTTTAGAACCACTTTACCAAGTCCTCGTATTTAGCTTTACTGCCCCTTTGCCATGCTCTCCGGCTGTTTTTTTTAATCCTTAGTAAGCCGATATCTCCATCAAACTATTATTTTAATCACAATGGCTACACTGGGAAAAATCAAATCCTTAAACCTTAAATGTGGATACAGTATTTCTTAGTGCTTGGTCAAAATCAATTATTTACATTGGTTCTTCATGCATTTCCAATGCAATGACATTTAGCAAATTCTAATACAAACGTTTCTTGCATGATGCACTTATGTTCCCTAATGTGAAATAACAAGCATTAAGCCGAATACCCCTAGAGTAAACTATCAACAGGAACAAATCTCAGCCTGACTAGTGTCTGGTCTTCAAAAACAGGGCTACTATGTGGGGAGGGGGGTCATTTTCCCACTTATGCCCTCGTCAGGCTCCAGTGTTACCCAGTGAAGTTCAAGTACTTGCAGTATTGTCTTGGTTTCTTTCATCTTATGCCAAACCGATCCAATACTTCTCAGGTAATCATTTTCAAAGGCAATGTCATTGATGATTATTTCATTATTGGAGCTGAATACTGATCACCAATTTAAGGGGGCACTTTACTAATCATTGCTGTGAGGGGAACCTTTAATGGCCACAAATGTCTACTGACCTCCAATGTGAAGGGAACTTTTCTTCACTGACAACCAATGTAAGGACCCTTTCCCCTCAGACAATAAATGTGAGAGATACCTCACTGACCCACAATGTCAGGGAACACTTCACTGACCACCTATGTAGGGAGAACCTTTACTGACAACAAATGTAAGGGGGGATTTACACTTCCCACCAATTAAACAGAGGCGATTACTCTGAACAATATGTAATGATGGCATTTTCCATTGAACACCAATGTAAGGGGGCATGTACACTAACCACAAATGTAAGTTGGCATATACTCTGACAAGGTGCACTGGCTACCACAGACCATCAATAGATAAAAATTAGGTCCTTTGCCACCTGTGTTAGAGGAACCTGATGGTTGTGGGTGCAAAATACAGGGTATCATTTACATTTTACTGTAAAGAGGAGGTCACCTTTAGTGGTACAACCACTGGAGTTGAACCTGGGATATGACTGCTTTCAAGCACAGATATCCTCAGAGTCATGTGTAGGGTGCCATAAACTTGCACACTTGGCTCTGCCAAATATAGAAGTTTCTTTCAATATTGAGAGAAGGACAAAAAGTAGAGAGCGAGCTTTCAGTGCTTAGTTTTTAAGCAGGATGTATAGCAACAGAACAAGTATTCTAACCGGTCCAATTGTTTACCTTGCAGCAGTGTAAGGCCATAACCGGGAGCTCGCGTGCTACTGCGCATGCACAGGTCCTAGTCTTCCGGGTTGCTGGAAAACATGCGTATGTGCGCACAATGGAATGTGGCGCACAGGAAGTGACACAGTGGCGCAAAGGAAGTGACTCACAACCCTCTAATAGATGTTCCTATTTAAACCAGCTGGCTCAATGGGTCAGTGCTGAACGGTCTTTCAGCTTGTGTTCCTGCTGATCTGTTGCCTGTTACCTCGACCCGAACTGCTGCTGACTTCGACTGATTGCTGCCTGCCCCTGACCTCTGCCTCCTCCTTCTGTACCATGCTGATCGTCTGGCTTGACCCCTGGCTTGTTTGACCTCGCTCCAGTTTCTGCTGCAAACTTTGCTGACATCACAGCTGTGCACCAGCCCTGCTCATCCTTCCAGGGATCCAGTTGCAATCCAGGGGTGTGAGACGAGAGCTGCAAGGGAGACCTACTCAGCTTATCGGTCCTCCACCAGGTCCGTGATAAGCAGGTAGCCTGCAGTATCTGCAGGCACCCTCAAGCATCAGAACTTTGCCTCCTATTCATGATTACCTTAACCCAGGGCTCAAAATTTCAAATCCTGAGCGACTAGCCAGGCCTTAAAAGTTACTCACCACCAGTTGCCCCACCTAACCCCTACCCTGCCCCGGCCTTAACTCTGCCAGGTCAGCGGTGTGACGCACAGTACAGAAGTCAGCAGTACAGAGGTCAGTAATTTAACGCACAGCGTAGAAGTCAGTGTGACGCACAGCGCAGAAGTCAGTGTGACGCACAGCGCAGAGGTCAGTGTGACGCACAGCTCAGAGGTCAGTGACGCACAGCGCAGAGGTCAGTGACGCACAGCGCAGAGGTCAGTGTGACGCACAGCGCAGAGGTCAGTGTGGCGCACAGCTCAGAGGTCAGTGTGGCGCACAGCTCAGAGGTCAGTGTGATGCACAAGCTCAGAGGTCAGTGTGAAGCACAGCAAAGAGGTCAGTGTGAAGCACAGCAAAGAGGTCAGTGTGACGCACAGCGCAGAGGTCAGTGTGACGCACAGCGCAGAGGCGTGTGATGCAAAGCGCAGAGGTCAGTGTGATGCGCAGGGGTCAGTGTGACGCACAACGCAGAGGTCAGTGTGATGCACAGTGCAGAGGTCAGTGTGACGCACAGTGTAAGGAAGAAAGAAAAGGGACTTACAGTGCACTTAGCTGGTATTCAGGTGCCTCTTCTTTCTGGATGGCCGGTCTCACTGTCTCTGCAGTCTTCCTTCCAGCCTGGCAGCTGAGGTGGGCGGAGGAAGCTGCAGAAGACAGCAGTACTGAATGTCATTGAGGTGCACCGCCGGCGGGACCAGAGATGGGGCACTACCGATGCGGCGATCATTCCCTTCTGTTCTCTCTTTTCCTCTGCCGCTCTGTAGCTGCAGTAGCCGATGAGAAGAGAGAACAGAAGCGAGCAATTGCTGCGGCGGTAGTGTCCCATCTCTGGTCCCGCTGGCAGCGCACCTCAATGAGATTCCACTCGCCCCCACGCAATTTTCACTCGCCAATTGAGAGGGTGAGAGTGGAAATTTTGAGGCCTGCCTTAACCTATATTCTTAACATATGGGAAGCCGTTGGAGATTTTTATCTGGGACCAAAAATCTAATTTTTTTGCATTGCAGCATTGGAGGCTTAACATTTCAATGTTTACAACTTTTTTTGCATAGAAATGTACTTTTCAACTTAATGTAGAACCTTACCTGATAGATCCCCGCCATGCATGTAAGTACAGCTGCCACACTAATAGCATAGCACTCCTTTCCACACTCAATGTCCATTAGGCCCAAACTAATGTTGACTGATGTTATGTTCATGATGCTGCTGCCATTTATTCCTTCTCTTCCATGGATAGCATCATCATCCAGGTCAAAACCTGCCAGCTGCACTTCTCGATCCACAACTTGGCCAATCATTAGGCTAATCAAGCTAAAAATGCCCACAGACACATGTCTAGAGGTCCCCATTACGAAATATATTAAATTGGCAAAGAATGATGTGTATAAGCTGTATATTGGTTGCAGGCCTGCTAACAGGGAGTAAGCTATGGCTTGGGGCACTAAGATAATGCCAATTATAAGCCCTGACATCACATCTCCCCATGTGTTTTCTTTGAAGTTGTATTTTGGAAGCCATCGTATTACAGGGAAAAAACCTGTGACAGTCTTCTTGGCCTTTTTGGCAGAACAGGTGCATTTCTTTGTTAACTTTGCTTTCAGACTCTTCCTGATGTTCACACCTTTATCTGCCTTCCTTTCCAGTTGTACATGAACGTGCTTTGGGGGTTCATCTAGATGGTTTTCTTCAGTCTCAAGCTGCATGTTTATTTTGCTCCGATCATTAAGCTCTGAAAATATAAAGCAAATTGATTAGTACTTTAGTTTAAGGCTTGCAAGCAAATCATCACCAAATATAATTTAGATTCACTTAATCAATAAACAATTAATGAATCTGTACTGTATATACTTCTGCATCCAGAGTCAATGCTTGCACTCAGTAGAAGCAATTTAAGTTAATGGCCATCTAGTCTGCAGGAAGAAGCATGAAGAAAATAATTATGTAACAAGCCACTTTTGGCATTAGCAGTTAGCGGGCTCTTGGCAAGGGTCTGAAAGTGCACCTTAGAGACTGAGTCTTTACTTTGTGTAAAGTAATTAATATATGATTAAGCATTGTATATTCTAAAAGTAATCACTAGGGTTAGTTATTTCTATACTGTAAACAATTGCAAAAACAGTTAAACCAATAGTAAATTATATAAAATACACACGCGTAAATTATGTAAAATAAGCATTTCACAGCAGGCACCAAAAGTGCCATATCTTAAGTTTTAGGCTCCTTTCACCTGTGCGTTTTTCTGTCGGATCTGATCGGAAGCCTTTGTTGGTCTATGGACAGCCACATCTAAATGGACGGGCATCCATTTACACGTAGTTACCCCCTGGCTCCGGCCAGGTCCAGAAAGATAAGCGGAACAGAGTTCTGTTTCACCGGACATGATTGTGCCGGATTGGGGGTAATCTGATGTAAACAGACTCCCCATAGACCAACACTGGTAATTTAATTTTTTTTCCTCCATTGCAAGATGGAGGAAAAAACTGGATAGACACGGGTGCCACAACAGTGACATCCCTTCCAAACTGCTCCATTCAGCAGGAGACCTGTGCATGGATCCCCTCCTGAACGGAACCCACGGGGCCTTAAAGTTCTGTCTGAGTGTCAATCGAGACCATTCTGTGCAAATAATGACTTTCTACAAAACATGCAGCCATCACTGGAGTGCATATATGTAGACCGGAAGCCACTGCATGAGATTAGCTGCGCTGAGATGCAATCAAATGCATGAATGTAGACAAGGAGCCACTGCATGAGATTAGCAGCAATACGATGCAATCAAATGCAACTCACAGGCCACAGCAACTTGGTAGTATGTGGTAGATTAACAAAGCTTAAGGCTGGGTCCATACCTAGGCGATTTTGTCTTGCTGATTTAGCCATGCGATTTCACACAAAACAGAGAATTGCATTCAAGTCTATGAAAGCTGTTCACTCCTTTGCGATTTGTTGCGTGTTAGAAATGGCCTGTCGCGCAAAAGGGTGCAGGTGCTATTTTTGGGGTGGTTTGGGTCCCATAGACCCATATGCATTGAAAACCGTGCGATTTTAAAGCAAAATCACGCAAGCTAAAACGAGCGACGACAGCACGAAAGCAGCTCACCAGCTCAGTCGCCTAAGTGTGAACCTAGCCCTAAAGCCATCCAGACTAGTATACGTAGATTGTGGAAAGAAAGCCATCAGCAGCCATTATTATCTAATGTTATTGTTTTACCAACTTGATTACAACAGTGTCAAAACTAATTGCAAATAGGCAATCACTTTGCAACAGTTGTTAGTTAAACAGGCCACAGCTTTTAATGCTGTTATATGAACTCATTAACACGTATAGGTATTACATACTAGCACTGCTCTATCGACTGACTCGGGTGGATATGTTTGTTTAAGTCAGCATTTTATTGTTCTATAATCTTGGGTACTGCTGCACCATAGATCACCTCTATGCAGGGCCTGATAGTGGAGGAGAGAAGAGAGACTCCTTACTGGATCACCAGCAATAGCTAATGTTCCTTTCTGAGCATGAGTTGCTTCAGTATACTGTACTGGTTTTTCTCCATCATTCATGCAGTTGCCCCCACCCATCCTTCATGTCTGTAAAATGCCACCGCTGGAATGTTGTATATAAACGAATAGTAGTTCCAGGTATTGTAGTCACCAACACATTTTGTCTTACACTGAAGAGTTTGTCATGAAAGTAATGAAATCAGCAGCAGTGCAGCCATATATGTGAAACAGCTGTTGCCCCCTTACTTATTTAATAGCAAGCTGTGTTACCTTTTGTCTAAAATAGATACTAAACGCTGGCAGCAATACTCCCCTCCACATGCACACACTGCAGAATGCTAATCAATGCTTGTAGTTAGATTTGGCACAGCATCCTAGTGATCAGTGTTTGATCAGTACTTTGACTAGATCTCAACATAGGCCTATTTTTTTCCTGTCTTCCTACCACTGACTTGCTTGTATGTCTTGGATCATCAACTGTGGTATGGCATTTGGTTTCATGATGCAAAACGGAGCCCATGCCACCCACTTTTAAGCAATTTAGGTGGCATTGATAGAACTGTTGCAAACTTTTTTTTATTTTTTTTATTTGATCAGCTAAAAATTCATCCATATCACATTTGGCTTTGTGTTCATGTATCAACTTTGGACAAAACTAAGTTATACTAAGGCAAAAGTGCCCTGAAATTCTTATTGTTTTGAGATTCTTCATTGCTTGAGAAATGTTGTCAGTATGGCCAATTTTTGGTACATTCACTGCAGCTCCAAAGATAAAAGTTTGTGTTGCTATGGTCAAGAAAATTACATATATGGTACAGTTCGTCATTAGCATTAACCGTTCACTGCCAAGGTTTTTTTTGGTCACACGTTGTAATCCACATTTTAGACCTGAACATTACTTAAAACTGAAGAAAGTTATATATTTCCTGAAATCACAGACACTGTAGAATAAAATGGTGATAGTTGCAATTGTTTACATTGCATATTAGCGAACTCTTTCTAAAACCCAACATTTCTGTAAAAACTACACCTAAGTTAATTTTAGTGCACAAAAGCACAATATAATGCCCATTTTTGTCAAATATAAATGATGAGGTTGTGCCGAGTAAAAATACCCAACATGACAGGGTTAAAAATTGTGTGCACCCGTGAAGCGGCGATAAAATACAGTACCCCAAATTGTCCATAAGCGATGCTGTACAGGTCATCAGTTTATAGTTATCCATAAATATTTGCCATAGTGTCATTGGTATCACTCTAGCGTACAAGAAAATACCTAACGCTACCCAACGTGTAGCGCAATAGTCATCTTCGCACACCCAATGTGTGTTTAAGTTAGTATGCGCGCATTTGAGCTTTTTTACTTTTTTGTTTTTAACACTTTATTGCTATTACAGGGGGGCTCACAAGCTACTTTTGTTCCCTATGGTCCCTGTGTGTGTTGTAAAGCAGCCACCACTCCAAGCTCACTCCTGTGATAGACTACAATCTTAATACAAATTAATAAACTAAACATGGAATTGTAATCCATTACTGGAGCGAGCTTGGAGAGGTGGCTACTTTACAACACACACAAGGACCATGGGGAACAAAAGTAGCCACCCTCCAGGAAGGAAGGACAGTGTCAGCATGAATTCAGAGATGATTTGAGGATCTACAGCTGAGTGATACACAAATTAAATACATTTTTGTTAATAGGGTACTTGAATGTATTTTTAAGATTTAACTCCTGAGTTTAGTGTCACTTTAATGCAGCATTTTTCATTTATTAGCATTAATTTAGCATTTGTTTGGTTTTCGGAGTAGTTTTATTACCTGTTTATCCTTCTACTTCTATAGGGTGAGAATGTGGTTCAATCTACAGTAAAATTGCATAGCAGGATGAGATAGGGTAGTGTTAATGAATAGCCTGACTCCAGCAAACATTTTTTAAATTAGTAAAAACTGAACTATGTTATAGTGGGTACTCTAAAGCCAAATAAGATTATATATTGATAGGGAGGCAATAGGAAAAACCTCTTTCAGGTTTTAGATATTTGTTACCCATTGGGAATATTTCACTTCCTGAATGGGAGGGGAAAGCACCCTCAAGGTGCCCATACACTGCACGATTCTCGTACGATCATACAAGAATCGTGCAGTGTATGGAAGGCGTGCGAATGTTTCTAATGTACGGTATCACGACTTTTGTATATCGAGCATGTTGGAAAACCAGCCGAGAATCGTACGATTTTCGGCTGGTTTTTAACATGATCGAGAGATCACTGCCGAACGGGCACGCGCACACTGCCCGTTCAGCATTGCGGTCATCGGAAACCCACCCCTCAAGGGGGCGGGCTTGCGATGATCGCAAGTACGATCTGCCTGTCCAAGATGGGCAGATCGTATGTTTTTTAAATTACTTTACAACCATCGTAAGACTAAGGCGATGGTTGTAAAGTGTATGGCCACCTTTAGACACTGTCACCAGAACAGGTTTCCCCATTGTTAGATTTCCTCTTGCCACCTGTTCAGGAGACAAGAGTAAAATTTGGATTTCTCATCACTTAAAATCTTATAGATTTTCTAACCCTTCCACATTCTATCCAAAATTAAAAAATCTTGGCTGCAGATACTCTTTAAGCTAGTAGGTGAGTAATATTAAAATATTACAAGTGGCGGTAAGCCACATGGACTGGTGAAAGCTTTTCCAGAATGTTTATAAATCTGTCAATAATAATGTTAATAATCTGTCAATAAGGTTAAGAAATATCAGTCTATTTATTGGCAATGTATCTAACTTAGCAAAACTGTGACTGAGTGCTGTGATTTCAAAGGCAATTACGTCATCAGATGAGGCATCTTCTTAATGTTCATATTTTTTGTTAAGCTGTTTGCTATTTCTTATACAAGTTGCAGCTGGAAGCAGAATTTAATTGCATGCAAATTGCATGTATTATTAACTGATTAGACATTGATAAAATCATGCGCAAATTCTCTGTGTAGACCTTCAGAGTAACATGATTCACACTATTCAAATCAGATCTTCATAAATGCTACCTCAGTATTTTTAGTATTTCGAATGACGTTTTTTTGTATTCTAGCACAAAACATAGGCATAAAAATCACACTACATTGTGCCTATTTTATGAAGTCATTTAGAACATATAGTCATGATTTAAATGTTAAATTACTGGTTTATTTTATTGTTTTGTATAACCTGTGATTTAAACATTATTTTCTAAAGTC